GGAGTGGCCGCCGTTACTCCTGGCCCCGCCCACGCCTCGTCAGCCGCCCTCGTGAGAGCTGCCGGCACGTCTCTGCGCTCCCCTGTGGGTTCCCCGGCTCAGGAAACCGCCCTGTAGGCCGCCATCCGCCGCGGGACGCGCCTGCACCGGGGCTGACCGCCTCTGCGAGTGACCGACCTTCACCTAGACACGTGGAAAACACAGCCCTGCCACTGACCAACTACGTATTACCAGAAACAAACGCTAAAATAGTCACGGCACCAACAGATTATATTAATTTCAGCCTGTCTGTCCAACACGTTTCATTAAAAATTAGTTGGACTGATTTAATGAACTTGAATGCAGGGTCCCTGATTACTACTTTTAAATACCAAAAAAAGATGGCACCTGATTTTCTTAGTATGTTGGCTAGTTGCATTGAGGAATACACATACAAATTTGACAGCTGCATAAATGATCGCCATAAATGCCAGCAAGTGGTTGTCTATCTGTTAGAGACATGAAAACACAGAACTGCCTAGTTTTGAAATGCTGATACCTTGTCTCCTCCTGCTGATACAAGGAAGCAGTGATTTATGTAGATTAACAAAGGCAGTACAAACTCAGAAGGACCTGTAAGTCTGTCTAATTGACCAAATGAAGGTGGGCCTTCAGAAACTGTGACATAACATTTCACATAAAACCAATTGCTACATGCAACTCTTCAAATAACCATTTACAGACATGCGTTGTTACCTTACTACCAGTCAATCAGATTGTACTTAGGGCCAATGTAACTAACATCAGATTAATAAAAAACAACGTGCAAGTAAAAATATACACACAGGTGAAATCTTGGCCATTTCTTTCATGGCTTAGTATTTCATATTCTTTGTCTACATAAAACTATAAATAAATAAATTCCCCAAACTCCACGTATCATACTGCAATAAAATTGATAATTTACTAACTTTATCATATTTGTTCAAGAAAGAAACAAAGAAACAATGCCAAAATTAAAGATTAAATAGACTACAAAGAAACAAGAAAGAAGAGTAAAGCTAAAATAGTATGACTGTTTCAAAAATGCTCTGCAACTACACTTGTCATGTTACTAGAGAGAAAATATTACAGTAAATTTTATCACTGAGGGAAACTTTAACTTCCCAGGTATAAACTGGAAAACAAATTCTATTAATAATGGTAGGAACCAGAAGCAAGAGCAAACAGCTTTCTTCAAATAGCAACTGAACCACCAAGATGCAATTATTATTTTAGGCTTGCTTTTGGTAAACAGCAGCAATACTATAGAAGAGCCAACCATTGCTTGGACTGAGCAATCAGAAGTTGATTCAGTTTAAATTAGACGAAAGGATAAACAAATGTAGGTCTGTAAATAATGTTATGTGTATACTGCAATTATCCCATGTGGCTATGGGTAGGCTGTTGCTAATGCCTGAACTGACTAATTCAAACTATTTCAGATATCACACTCAATTTTCTGCAGTGCAGGGTAGAATGGTAGACGTATCTAAACAAGCCTGGGTTAAGGATAAGATTCATGTCCAGCAGCAGTATTGCCTTAAGATATTATTCTTCTTTCCCATTCCTCCCTCTGCTGCTCATTTCTGTCCCTGTACACCACTCCATCAATGACAGCAGCATAACTCTTGGTAGGGTCATACTTCAAAAAGAGTCAGGGCAGCATACAGGAGAAAAATGAAGTGGACCAAAACAATGCAGGAGGGGCACCTTTTTTTTCAGCTTATCAGTCCCATCATCTATTTGATGTGTAACTTCAGAACAGTTGTGCTGGCCTAAACGAAGGATCAAAAGTGTCAATAGCCACCTAAGCCTGCACTACTGCTAGAAACACATACGAAATGCATTGATTTAGTCTAGCAAAAGAAGTCTCAAGATGATTGCTATCATTAAGCATACCATTTACATACCCCAAAGTGAAAAGAGCTATTGATGCTAAGAGGCAATACTGACATAAGAACAAATTGGAATACATTGGTCAGGAATACATGTAAGCTAGACTTTTAAGAGACATTTGTAACCATCAGGGCAGTAAGATTCTGAAACAGCTGCCCAATAAGCACTAGGAACTGAAAACACCTCTATTTATAACATGGAGCTTGACCAGCTTATAAAATGGATTATATTGCTTGGCTACTTAAGGTACCACAGGACTAGACTTGATGACCCCAATTGTCCCTTCCAGTCCTTATGTTCCTGTGAGGTCCTTGAAAATTAAAGCACCTTTATTTACATTGCATTTTTAATATGAATATCTAACGGGCCTCTGTTGGCAACTTGCACTGGCCTTTTTCTTGGGTGGGTCCTATGGCATCTGGTAATGTCAGTGAAATGACATACAGGGAGGACTGAAATATATTATGCATTTGTGCACTACTTCATCCATCTATGAGAAGTTCAGAAGGCAAGGCACAGAAGGTTTGGTTTGGACTTTCAGCTACAACAAAGAGTATTATACAAACAGCTGTTTTCACTAATTGTGGTATTGATCTGCCAATCCCAAAAGCAGCAAGAATGATAATTTCTACCAAAAGCAGTGTAAGTTGAATAACAACTTATAAGTTTAGTAGCTACTTCTAAATGAGGATTTTTAAGAAGAAAACAAAGCTTCTTAGTTACAGACTTTAATCATTGCTATTTTTGCTAGAATGCCAGGTAATTTATTTTACCAACAAATCTACAATTTGCTTGCTTGCTGCTTCTGGAAAATATAAATTTGATTTGATTTTAGAAAGGAGAAGGACCTTTATAAAACTCTATTACAGCAATACAGTGGCCAACATAACTGCTGCAAAGACAAACAAAGCAATTGAATTTACAGACCGATTTTTAATTTGTGCAGTATTTAAAATATATTAAACATTTATATAAGTCTGGTTTTGTTTAGAAACATTTTCTGTGACTGGAACATGCCAAGCAACCCTTTGTTGGCATGTTCCATTAACGCTATTAAAATAAAACAAGAAAGCCACAATCTGTGAAGCAGAAGCAGCAAAGGGTAGTACCAGCTTTAGAAAATACAAACGCAAAAACCTGCAAGCTTGTCCACAATATGCTCCTGCTACTGATAATCACTTTATAATATGGTCAAGATTTAAGCCTGCTGTCTCATTTAACTCTGATTACATATGGATAGCTATGACTTCATCCAAGAATCTTTAATGGTACTTCCAGTTTTCAAATTAATCCTCACCTAAGCAGTATTAGTTACAATGACAAGTATAATTTTACAGAATAAAGTGTGTTAACAAATGTATTTCTGGGAAACATATATACAAACCAGTTTATTGTACTTGCTGATAGATCTGACAGCTCCATGTAGGCACACAAAAATCAGAGTATATCAGCTTCACGTAGGATGGAAAACTATATTCTCTGCTGATGAAAGATCTGGGATAACAGCTTCAGCTAAGATTTTAAAAAGAAGAGAGACAGAAAGACAGAGCGAGAGGGGTCTCAAATTCAGATAATCTTCTAGTTTTTAAATATTCTAATGGCAAATAAATACAATTAAGTTTTTCTTGCTGCACCTTATGTATACTTCAGGAGACATTCTTATGGATATAAGTAAGAGCAGATTTGCAAATCACAACTAACACAATGAACAACTTCTTCAATCAGTAATTTACTGTATGAAGCTTTGTAAAAGCTGCCAATTTAAAATTAAGAACAACAGTAAGACCATTTTGGTCTTTCTATCTTTTGAAAAAGCAGATCTTATTTAAACAACACTTCCTAGTCTTACAGGCTGCAGGAGAACCAGCGCTGCATGCTGGAAGGCAGCATTATGTGTGTAAAGACCATATTCATCAGGCACCTGCAATCAACATTGACAGGGTCTCAGTGTTGCGACTCCACCTAGCGGCCTTGTTAAAAAAAAGCCAAAACAAAAAACTAGACATGTCCCATTAAGGCAATATAAAAACCGACAGTTTGCCTCAGGTCAAATTATTTAATACTTGAATAATATGCCATATGTTGGCATTTCCCTGAAGGTAAGACCCAAGTGCTACCAAACATATATAAGTGATAGCAGACAGGCATGGTTTAAGCAAAGCTTTATAACAGTCAAGCCTCATACGGAATGGAATACTTTTTTTTTCTTTATATGAAGTTAAAAAGCATTTCAGAAAAACCACAATGAGTATTCAGCAGCATCTAATGTAATGTAAGATACACTGCAGTCTGTCTGTGTTCTCAGGATGGATTTTAAACCAGAAATTTAATAGGCTAAAACCTTTGTGTTATTTAGACATCCTTAATTCTTGCTTGAATTTTAAATATATCTCCATATTGTTTCACTTTTGACTCACAGTTTCAGACAAGAAATAATTGTATATTTTATAGTAAAGCAAGGACAAAATCAAGCAAAGTAAGCAGAGGACTGAGTAACCCAAGGCAAAAACAAGAAGCGGGGTGGGGGGGAAGTCCAAGACAGAACAAGCAAATTACAGTTAAATAGCTCAAAGCTAATCACAGGGCAACATTATTTCAATTGAGCCAAAGGAATGAGACTACCACCCCACAATATAAGTCATCACTTTTTCCTGCTAGACAAACACATTTGAAGACCTTGTTACACTTCGCTTCTCAGTCCTTTCATCTGTTTGGCTCTTGACAGTGTACAGAACAGTGAATACATGCCTTGAATTCCTGGTCCATTTTCCTTAGAAAAGTATTTGGCTTTGTGTCATGACTGTGTTTGGCACAGACAGATCTCACTATAGCAAGAGGATAGCATGTGTAGTACTTCCTAATTTAAAGCTCCATAACTGCCATTAGAAACTTTTTTTTCTTAAGCTGCATTTGAAGGAATAGAAGAAAATTTAGCAACTTTTAACGCCAAACCACTAATTTTGTCACTACACCGTTCAGAAAAAAAGGATTCTCTGCAACTTAATTCACTGTACACTCTACATTGATTATACTACTGTAATAAATATACTTTTAGCTCTTCAGATCAATATGAGTGAGTCACAAAAGCTGCAAGTTATACAAACATTTAATAATCTTTATTGATACATACATTACCCTCAGTGCTGCTTTTATGACCTTACTATCTGGCAACAAATGTTTACTGGTTTCTCTGATAGAATTAACATCAACAACAAAGTAACTGATAAAGGCATTCTGTGGCAACTAACATAAAATCCAGACCTTAAGTAGGAACTCATACACGTGCACAACATGTTAGAATTTACTTACATCCTCTCCTTTTCCCCCCAGCCCCCTCCAACAGTCTTTAAACAAAAGGAATTTGGAAACTGGTCTGACTGACTTACATAAGAGGAATTGATTACCACACAGTAGTCTGGAGTGGAACACATAGAAGTGTCAGGGTACTGTTTCTGCAGAGTGTCTGATCTCTAAAATTATAGTATCCATGGTTCTAGGAAAAAAAACCCTAACCAAGCAAACCCAAAACAAAACCCAGAATTACTAGGACTGCTAAACTAGGCTTCAAACCCATTCTGTGAACTGAATCCATTCTGTGTCACAGCAAACCTCCATCACAGCACAACTTGCTTGGATGATCTTAGGGAGGAGGTTGAGAGACTTTTCAACACTTGCATGCAGACAGTAAGTGTACTACACTGAATTTGATGCAGGAGGTGCTCATTAGGGTTATCTTATTGTTTGGTTCTACCATCAGGTGAACCATGGAAACACAGTGGAAAAAATATTGCATTTGAGGCCCTACAGCTCTCTCAGGTGCTGCTGCGTAAGTGTCTATCATATGTCTATCATGCCAGCAATATAAACAGCAGGTAAAGTGCATGCTATTTAGTGCAAATACCACACACTATTACTGCCAGGATAGTTCAGTACTTGAATACAACCAGCTAATGCATGAAAAACAGCTTGTTGACTCCAACTAAAAACGAAGTAGTGCTGCAGGACAGAGAAAACTTTTGAGGAGGGTTTGGAAACACAAAGTGTTTCTTTGATTTACACCCACAGTTAATCAGTTCATCATGTACCATGGAAATACCCTTTAACTTCCCATTGATCTTAAGTCTTATACAGTCAAAGCAATGAGAATGTTCTTTGCCATCACTAGTTAGTTGGAAAACTCCATGTCTTCGTGGCAGATGATGACTTAATCTTGCTCACTTGCACCATTTTAAGTCACTGTTCTTCTTGGGAAGACAGTGCATTGTAGCATGCCATGATTATTTCAATGCTTGCAAAATCCCAGACAGCACTTTGTGCTACAGTGTGCCTGCTCAACACCACAAACTAGGCAAGCAAATGAAGCCTGCTTTCTGCTCTGGCTTTTGAGTGAATAGTGACTTAACAACACTAAGTGCTTCCCAGGCTGGTTCCAGGAAACATGAAAGATTGTTCCAGCATGGTAAGTACGGCCAAGAACTTCACTCATTTAACACTCTACAGTAGAAACAAAAAGTGTCTCTGTTAAAGATGGAACTCTCTTAGAGATGGTATTCTGCTCAGAGACAAGTGTAATTCCCCCCATCCTCACCTTGCCTTCCCTAATCTAAATACATATAACATGTACTGGAAAAGAGTCTCCTCTACAGAGGGAAATCTTGACTCACAAATCTATTGGAATTCTTTGAAGAAGTCACAATAGAGAGAGATCAGTTAATATAATCTATTTGATTTCCAAAGATTGTTGACCAAAAGGTCCTAAAGAAACCATGTTGCTGTGTGATGACAAGGGAGATCCTCTCATGGATAAATGGTTAAAAGCTAGGAAATAAACAGAAATGGCAGCTCATTTTTCTGAATGGAACTAGGTTACCAGTGGAGTCCTGCAGGGCTCCATGCTGGGTTCTGTATCATCATACATTCATGTACTGATGATAGTGCAGTGTACTAAAGGCAGCCACCAAAAGATGTGAAAGAATGTCACAACACTGAGTAAAGTTTAAAACCACTAACAAAAGTGAATTTTAGTCTTAATAAATGTGAAGTGACACACACTTCCAACTTTATACACACAGTGATGAGCTGTGAGCTGATCTAATCATTCTGGAGACATAACAGTTTAACGAAAACATCAGCCAAGAAGCAGCTGAAAAGGAGGAAATGGTAGGATTTAGTAGAGGTGGAACGGAGAAAAATACAGCAAGATTCATTATACCACTCTGTAGTAACATGAAGCACACACATACTATGTGCAGTTCTGATCTTCCCAAGAGTTATAAACTCTCTCATCTTCTGTTCTCCCACCTGCCAAAACCTCTTCCTAGTCTACCAAGTCATCACAAGTTAGTAACAATCAGCTGCAGTGAGCAATGTACTCCATTCAAAGAACAACTAACTAGACTGGGATTCTTCAGATTGGTGGGGGGGGAGGGAAAACAGAGGAAGTACTTCAGAGATTTATACAATCATGAAGAGGATGGAGAGAATGAACAGGGATCAATTTTTCCTCCGTTGCCTCCGACATAACTCAGGAAGAGATCACACACAGTTTTAGGAGGCAGTTTCAATGTAAAAAGGTATTACTGGACAAATTTTTGTACAAGATCATATAAGACAACTGTTTTTGTGTTGGGAAGTCCCCAATTCCTAGACTGTTCTGAAAGGTAGTACTGAATGTTCATCCTATCTTACATGCTTTCTGAGGTACCTGACCCTGGCTCCCGTAGAACCATGGACAGACTTTTGAACTAACCCAAACCATCTAAAATAAATCTTTCCAAGCCAGGCATTTCTTCCTTTATAGAGAGAGTGATAGAACAGGTATGTCCTCAAAAGACATTAACTGCATTGCTTAGTGTGGTCCAACTGGTGCTCCATGGGTCAAATTCAATCCACAAAATGTTTCTGAGCCCAACATCTTTGTCTCAGCCAGTCCAGAGAACAATTTTGTTCTGCAAACTGTCTAACAGACAAATTGTTCTTCTGGAGCCTGCTGTGGTTAGAAAGGTGGCAGCTGTTGCTTTTGACCACAGGAAAAAATTGCTGCTGCAGTACACAGAAGAGGCTGTGCAGTCCTTGGAGCACAGGGAAAGGGAAAAATGTTCCAAGCGTTCTGTCTGGCCCTTGTCATTGCCGAGGTGTTGGACCTGATAGTTTAATGAAGGTATGCACACACACTATGGTGATAAGTATGAAATAAGAAAGTGACTATGCAAGTTCTTCCTCTTTCTTTGCCTTCCAATGTCATTCCTCCTCCTGCCTCTTTCCCCCTAGCTCCAGTTCCTTGCTGGTTTATTTCCTCATCAAGAGGAAAGCCAGTACTCAGAGTTTCTTTCCAGTGAGGGAAATCTAAAGTTAAATATAAACATAAATTCTAGTTTTTCCATAGTCCATGTACATATATTTTCCTATTAAAAACCTGATTTTGAAGATTTTCAAAGAAAGACCCCAGAATTCAAGAATCCCAGAGAATTATTTTAGGACACTGAAACTATTTAAGTCAGCATGTCTACTTTTATTCAGATTTTTTTTCTATTTCTAAGAATATCCTCAAAAGGTAAACAGACTACTGCGAGATTAACTACTCCATTAGTTAATCTACATCTTAGCCTGCCTTTTTCCATGCATTTTATTGAACTAAATATTAATCTTTGAGTCTTTTGGATTCAACTAGGAAAAGTATTTAATTGGAAATAGCCTCCCTCCCAAAAGCTGCCTATTTTAACCAAAAGAATCAAACCCTTAATGTAGTTTTATTCAACATAAGGCATGATACTTGAAACTTGCTAAGAACTGTCATTTTTATCTCATGTTAAGATGCCCTTGGGAAAAACAGAAGCTGAGAATCTTTGCTATTCAACATTTCTGTGACAAATTGACTAACTTTTGAAAGTCAGAAGTCATTATTAGCCATTCAAGATCACTCTCTTGTGTGAAACAATTATTTGGGCACATCCAAATGATGGCTGGGAAGAAAAAAAAAAAAATTAACAAAGTGCAGTGATCATTCCCTGCTGTACTTACAACAAGTGATGAAAAAAAATTAAACCAATATCCAATACTTTATTATTACTTAAGAAGGAGACATCTTTAGTTTCCAAATGCAAATTGCAAACAAAGATTATTTTTTCTAAAGAAAAAAAACTTCCATCCTTCTTTTCCTTTCTTTCCTTTCCTTCTTTTTGTTGGAAAAATCTGTAGGACAAACAAGGACAGTCAACACAAAATATGGAGAACAGTGAAAAGGACTATACAAAAAGAATGTAAATGTATATCAGGAAAAGAAAATAGTTGTGCACTTTATTTGTTTGCAAACAAAGATTTTTTTTTCTAAAGAAAAAAAACTTCCATCCTTCTTTTCCTTTCTTTCCTTTCCTTCTTTTTGTTGGAAAAATCTGTAGGACAAACAAGGACAGTCAACACAAAATATGGAGAACAGTGAAAAGGACTATACAAAAAGAATGTAAATGTATATCAGGAAAAGAAAATAGTTGTGCACTTTATTTGACAACAGTAAATTGGTCAACTAATTTACAACAGCAGGAGCCTTATGAAAAGAGAAGATTCTGGTTCTTATTTTCTAACTGCTAGTACCCCTCAATCCTAATTCGACCTGAACAAAGGCTGTGAAATAGGACAAAAATGGTACGTTTTATGCAGTAAGCACACAACTGTCATTTCTCAGAAGTCCACAAGAGGTAACCATCTTCTTCATTTTACACTCAAATTTAGCTCCATTCTCATTACCACAACGCTGTGACTCTCCTACTATTTCCATGTTTCCTATTAAATCTGGTCCTTTGCTTATATTCTTCTGCCCTCTCGATTCCTCCAATGATGCTCATCTGTCGAGTCCACCTAGAACCACCTACAAGCCTTCTTCCACACCGATTTTCTGGGTCCATTTAGAGCTAGTATTTGTCACAGAGAAAAGAATTAATCCCTCAGTTTAAAACCCTTTGATAATATATTTTTACCATCTCACTCCTCATATAACGTGAAATAGTGACACACCTTTTTGTAAAGCTACTAAAAGCACATTGCCCCATCTCGCTTCACATACACCTTGCTGAAGAGTCCCACTGCTATAGCCCTAGCCCTCACTCTATTGTTTTCCTGCCCATTTCTCCTGCGGTACGTCGGATACTCGGTGCAAGAATTACAAGGCGGAGACCTCGCCTCACCCGCCCTGCCCACCTGGAAGTTGTACATAACGGAGGTTATTGCAGGGAAGACGGACTGCGGGAAACACGCCAGGAGCTGAGGCAATAAACCCCACAGGCTGTAGTTTCCTCCCTATTGTCTGCCTTGCGCCTGGGAGCACGCCCCGCACACCTGCAGCCCACCGCCCGCCCCGCCAACAAGCGGGCGTTTCTCTCTTCAGAGGCGCCCGGCAGCTCCCCCCTCGGCCCGGCCGCACGGAGATCAACCAGGCCCCACCACCGACGCCACGCCAGGACGCCCGGCCACAGCTCAGGCCCGGCTGCCCGAGGGACGAGGACCTCCCTGTCAGTCGCGGGCGGTTCAGGGCTCT